AGATAATATGTCAGTGATCTATTTGGCTGCATTCCAAGAAGGCAAAGTTGATGCAGCATTCAAAATCAACTCATAAAAACTCATGTTCATGCAGATTACAATAGTAAAATTATGTAGTTATCTCAAATGAATGCCAAAAAAAAAAAGTTTATATAAGTCAACATCTATCTACCAGAAAAAGAAAAGTCAACAAACTGAAGGAAATGACCTCAATTTAATAAAACCTTATCTTTAAAAAAAATACCTAGAGCTAACAGCATTATTACTGCTAAAAGATTAAACGCTTTCCCTTTAGAGCTAATGCTGTGCCCTAACAGGTGAAGCCACTGCCGGCAACGCCAGCATCCCATATGGGCACTGGTTAGAGTCTTGGCTTCTCCACTGATGATCCTGCTCTCTGCTAATGTCCTGGGAGAGCAGTGGAAGATGGTCCAAATGCTGGGATCTCTGCCACCCATCTGAGAGAACCAGATGAAGTTCCTGCTGCTAGCTCAGCCTGGCCCAGCCCTGGCCACTGTGGCCATCTGGGGAATGGACCAGTGGACAGAAGCTCTCCCAGTCTCTGTCTGTCTGTCTGTCTCATATATGTCACATTGCCTTTCAAATAAGAAAAAAAAAATAGATCTTTAAGAAGCTTTTTACGCAATCCAACCATAGTTTTCTCATAGTAAACATTTCTCATGAACTTTTCAAGGAATTTTCATATTCCCAAACCGACCCTTGATAAGCCCTTTGCCTCCACTTTTTTTTTTGGTAGAAATTGATCAACATTTTCTAAAGTGTATATGAAAAGGGAAAGGATGTAGGAATGACTTTGAAAGAGAATAACAGGGCCGGCGGCATGGCCTAGTGGCTAAAGTCCTAGCCTTGAGCGCCAGGATCCCATATGGGCGCAGGCTCTAACCCCAGCAGCTCCACTTCCCTTCCAGCTCCATGTTTGTGGCCTGGGAAAGCAGTTGAGGACGGCCTAAGGCTTTGGGACCCTGAACCCATGTGGGAGACCCGGAAGAGGTTCCTGGCTCCTGGCTTCTGATTGGCACAGTACCGGCCGTTGCGCTCACTTGGGGAGTAAATCATCTGATGGAAGATCTTTCTCTCTGTCTCTCCTCCTCTCTGTATATCTGACTTTGTAATAAAAATAAATAAATCTTTAAAAAAAGAAGGAGAATAACAAAATTGGAGAATACATATTACATACATAGTGTTAACATTTTATCCTAAAACTGCCATGAAAAGGACAGAGCAATGCTGGTGTAAGGATAAACATGTGGGGCCAAGGAATAGTCTAGAGCATCCAGAAATAGTCCACAAAGGTGCCAAGGTGATTTAACTGAGAAAGATTGGCTCTTTGTCAAATGATGCTATAACAACTTGACATCCATACATAAAAAAGAAGAATCTTGACTTTAAAAAAATAAGATTTATTTATTTTTATTTGAAAAGCAGATTTACAGGGCCCGGCACGGTGGCGCAAGTGGTTAAGGTCCTTGCCTTGCATGCCCAGGATCCCATATGGGCGCCGGTTCTATCCCAGCAGCCCCGCTTCCCTTCCAGCTCCCTGCCTGTGGCCCTGCACCCACGAGGGAGGTCCGGAAGAGGCTCCTGGCTTCGGATCGGCATAGCATCGGCCGTTGCGCTCACTTGGGGAGTGAATCATCGGACGGAAGATCTTCCTCTCTGTCTCTCCTCTCTGTATATCCGCATTTCCAATAAAAAAATAATAATAAAAATAAATCTTTAAAAGAAAATAAAGAAAAGAAAAGCAGATTTACAAGGAGAGAAGAAGAGGAGAAAGAGAGAACCATTTGCTGCTTCACTACCCAAAAGGCCTCAACAACCAAAGCCAGAAACTGGAGCCTCTTTCAGATCTCCCACACGCATACAAGGACCCCAGGACTTGTGTGATCCTTTGCTGCTTTCCTGGGCCATTAGCAGGGATGGAGCCAGATCAGAAGTAAAGCAGCTGAGACAGGAACTGATGCTCTTATGGAATATTGATGTCTCAGGTGGATGATTACCCTGATATGCCACCACATTGGCCCCAAAAAGCTTGACCTTTATACCACACACAAAAATTAATTTAAAATGGATCATACACTTAAATGTAACAAACAAAACTATAAGACAGTCATAAGTAATAGAAGTCAGTTGCAAAAGGCTCAATATTTTAGATTCCATTTATATGACATTCTGGAGAGTTGATCAGAAGTTGCCAAGAAATAGAGAAAACAGAGGAAGGAGACTGATGGCCAAGGGGCACAAAGGGATTGCGGAATTGATAGAATTTCCTCATGTGTTGATTAAGGCAGCTGTTACATAACTGAAGAAAATTCTGCTGTCTGCAAAGCCAGCATCCCAAATGGGAGTTGGTTCAGGTCCTGGCTGCTCCACTTTCAATCCAGCTTCCTGCTAATGTGCCTGGGAAAGAACTGGAGTGTGGCCCAAGTCCTTAGGATGGAAGACCTCTCATTCTCTGTTTTTTCCTCTTTCTCTTGCACGCACATATGCGCTTTCTCTCTTTAACTCTGACTTTCAAATAAGTAAGTAAATCTTCTAAAAGGAAAAATGAAGAAAACAAAACTAGAAAAAAAAACTACTATAGAAAAAGATAAAGAATCAGGGCAAACAATGAATTCTTCACATTATTCAGGCTAAGCAGTTTATGTCAAGGTCTCCATGACTGATCAATATTCTGGCCTCTTGGTGTTCACCCCAGGGAAGACAAACACTGGAGGCAAGGCTGACATCTACATTCATCTCAACGTCGGAAAGACTAGAAACATTTCCCAACCTTAATTTGGGTTACATAAGAAAGAAGAGTTCATTACAGATAGGAAAGTATATATAAGGAAGGATACTGACAAAGCTTGAGGATTGAAATTAGGTTTAAAAATAGCACAGCTAAAAAAAAAAAATAGCACGGCTGCAGTTATACCAAGCAGCTGTTGTTTTACACACATTCATTCTTAGCTCTCAAAAGGGCAAGGAGTGGGTAGAAATGCCAGTAGAGCAAGGTGCTTTGGGAACTGGATCATTTTGCTTCAGGGAAAGATGGCATTGGATCAGTATGTTGGAAAGATGGTTCTGGCAATCACCCTGTGAAAGGCAAGGTTGATTGGGGCAAAGCAAGCTAGTCAGGCATGATTACTGGGACTGTCCCTCAATGGGCAAGGAAGTCCTTGCTTAGGGTAGTTGGCAGTAACAGAGGTCATGGCAGCCACTCAGTGGGATCTGGCTCATTGGCTGAATGGGAAGATGAGTTGGGGCAGGGAGGTGGCATCGGGGATCACACCACCAACAGAGACTGGACAGGAGGGGTGAAAAGCAAAATGACCCAGTGCTGCTGGGTCATTTTGCCCATGGACCGAGTTGATCTGGGTTTTTTATATAGGCTTTTCCCAGAGGCGCTTTCTTGCTACAGGGAGGTTGGGTGCCTCTCTTGTCCATTTCTGTACTATGCATTCATGCATAATTAATAAAGACAAGAATCAATCTTCATGTCTTTCTTGCTTAATTAAGAGTTATTTGAGGGTCATATCAGTGCCTTCTCTCTCTCTAGGTCAAGTCCAGATTTCATCAACATGACGACTGACCAGACTGACCAAGCCTGGATAACCCCATCCCTGGGGCCTTCTCCCACTCATCATCCTGCAGCTGCTGAGCCATTCTTCTTTTACTTGCGTTGTTATTGCCTGCTGCCTGGAATGTTCTCTGTCCTCACAGTTCCTCCCATACCTGGAAATCTCTTAGTCATTTATTGGTTTCAGCTAAATCATTATTTCCTTTAGGAAACCTTCAGTGACTCTCCAATTCTGTATATGTTCCCACAGCACCTTTGCTTCCTAGTCTTAGGACCTACTACTCTATTCTAATTGCTTGTTTTCCCATTACCCAACACATTCCATTAGGTCAAAGGCATTATCTGTTTTATTTACTATAGTACTGTGGTAGCATTAACTTCTTAGTCTGTTAAGGCAGCTCTCCTCAGACTGGAACATTTAGAAACAACAGACATTTATGGCTCCTAGTTCAGAAGGTTTTGAAGTCCAAGATCCAGGTGCCAACAGACTGTGTGCCCGTTGAAGACATTCTTGGCTTCAAAGATGCCACCTTCACATGAGTAAGGGTGAACAAGTGCCCTCGAGCCTCTTACAAGGGCACCATAGGGCAGCAGCTGAAGCACCACTTGGGATACCTGCAGGCCATGTCCCAGTGTCTGCATCTGAGTGTCAGCTCTGTTCCCGATTCTGGTTTACCTGCTGATTCTGGTTTCCTCCCAGCATCTTCCTGGGATGCAGCAAGGACTGACTCAAGTAGTGTGGGTCCTTGTCACTCATTTGGGAGACCTGGATTGAGTTGCAGACATCTGAAAAGTGAACCAGTAGTTGGGATGTCTCTCTCTCTCTCTCTTTCAAATAAATAAAACCAAATCAATATCATTTTGAAAAACACAAAAGGGAGGGAAAGGATACCAATCCCCCAATCCCCTTCATGAAGGCTCTATCTTCATGACCTAATCACGCCTAATGGTTCCACTTCTTACTGTCACAGCATACTATGACATCAGGTTTACGCATAGGAATTCTGAAATGACAAGAACTGTTCAGATCATGGTAGTAATGTAAAAAGTAACAAGAAGATTGGCTAATATTTACTAGGTACTTCATAGAGGCCAGTGTTCTGATGTATTCACAAATGTGAACACCAACCTCTTCTAGGTGGGCCCTGATAACATTTTCCAGATCAGGACCGTAAAGTGTTGGGCACCAAGAGACTGGCTCAAGGTCAGCATTTGAAGAAGAGTAGGAACAAACAAGGGCCGTTTATTGTGCACTCCCCTAGCCCTGGGCTCGGTGCCTGTCAGAAAAGTGGTGTTCACTAAATATTTATGCAATTGATCTGAGGTGGGGAACATTACACTTGAGCTGGCAGTTATGCCTGGCAGAGAAGAGAAAGCATACCGGGCAAATGCTCAAAAACAAGGGGACCCTGCAAGTGTTGGGAGTCAGTGCTGGCCACACCCCTAGCGTGCCTGCCTGAAGGCCACCAACAGGATTCTTGTCTGTCAGAGCACCTCTACGACGTCATTTCATTCCAGAGTCCATGTCCAGAACGCAGCACTAGAATCCTCTCACTGGTTCTTTGTCCTAAACTGTACTGGTCAGGCAATTGCACACTTCTCACTGAAATGACTCCATGTGCCATCCTTACCCTGCCCTTCCTTAACTCTCTCTTGTGGTCCTGCTGTGCACCCTGGAGATTTTCCTGGATCATTAATAAGGTGAGAACATGCTACTGTGTACTGGAGGTAAACTCAATAGCTTGCTCATCCTATGTGTCAACCATCCCAAGGACAGGGCCCCAGACAACAGCCCAGAACTGAGTAATCAATGTAGCAATGAGAGTTTTCCAAACACCAGGAATGAATTAAGTCAGAATCCCTGATTTTCAAGTTCCCAGAAAGATTCCAAGGTTGGGACCCATTATAGAGGAATTCTGTGTATTGCTGCTCTCCAGATTTTCACACCCTGACCTAGAGTTAGTGACCAGTAAGTGGTTTCTGTCTGTGTGGGATGAGATAACCGAGCCCTGGAGGCAGTTGTGACTGTGTACGTGTGACGTGACTAAAACTCTGCAGAATCAGCCTTCCCTTAGGAGCTGGCCATGTGCTTCCAGATGTCATGGCCTGACCTGGATGCTGAAGGGGAGAGCAGCATCTCCATTCCCACCCCTGAAAGCACAGGAGTTTCCATTCAGCCATGGGAAATGGGCTCCCATCTCGACGGCTTTATCTATCCTGCTCTGAGCACCTGGAACTTTCTAGCCCATAGAGAAACGTATGGGAGTCTTACAAATAGATGCTCCATCTCCATGGGAATATGGGGTGCGGTGGCCCACCTACCCCCTCCTCACCCTTTCAGGGTCAATTAAATGTGTTAAGGTAAATCACAATATCCTTGCATATCTAGTCCTCATTTGGCCTTTGGAAGGAGCTGGCTTTGATATGCAGCATCTCATCTCATCCTTTCCATGCACTTCTCTGCTTACTTTCCCCAAACTGCGGTTGATAGATGGCAGAAGGAAAATAGAGTGTGTGAACAACAGATAAAAGCATCAGATACAATCACCCGAACAATGGTGGAAGTGGTGATAATAATTATCACCGTATCAGTACTGGTGATCATATTTATTGAGTTTTGGCTCAGATCTAAGCACTGTTTCACTTGTCTCTTAACCGAGCCTGTGAGACAAGGAAGTGTCACTATTCCGTAGGAGAGGAGAGGAGAGTGTGGGAGCTCTGAACACGATCCCTCAGACATGGCTGAGGATGTGACCCGGAGAGGGCTGGCAGGGCTCGCAGCAGAGCCTCTGATCCTGACTTTCCCTCCTTTCTCCTGCTCCCCTCTCTCCTCTCAGAGAAGCCACAGAAACTAGAATTCCTAAAAACAAAACACAGCTAGATTTCCTCTTCCCCAGTGTGGGCTGTGGATACTAGAACGTCCCTCGGGGTAAATATCACGGGCAGTGGCATAAATCGTCACTTGAGATACCGATACATTCCATTTTGGGGTGCCAGTTTGAGCCCCTACTCTGCCTCCAGTGCAGCTTCCTGATAATACATCCAGGAGGCAGCAGACAATGACACAAGCGCTTGGGCCCCTGCCACCCACAGGGGGAGACCCGGATGGTGTTCTGGGCATTTGGCTGCAGCTTCTCCCAGCTTTGGCTGTTGCAGGCAGTTAAGCAGTGGACCAGTGGGTGGAAGGTTCTCCTTCTCTTCTTCCTTCCCTCCGCCCACTCCCACCTCTCTTACCACTCTGCCTTTCAATTAGATGAAAAGAAAAAGAAGACTAGAGCTCCTCTCCTGCTAAGTCACTCATAAAACCTAGAAATGTGACTCTTACCTTGGTGTGAAGGAGCTGGCAGACAGAAACCCTCTGGCAGCCCAGCACAGTGACATGATTGGCTAACCCACCCCCTTCAAGCCCTGGGATGCCTTGAGGGCACCAGTTCCTGTCCCGGCTGATCCATTTCCCTTTCAGCTTCCTACTTGTGGCTTGGGAAAGCAGTAGAAGATGGGCCAAAGCCTTGAGACCCTGCACTTACTTGGGAGACCTAGAAGAGGCTCCTGGCTCCTGGTTTCAGATTGGCTCAGATCTGGCCATGAGGGTACTTGGGGCGTGAATCAATGGATGGAATATCTTTCTGTCTCTCTCCTTCTCTCTAAAAATCTACCTTTCCAAATAAAAATAAGTAAATCTTTTTTTTTTTTTAAAGGAAAGCATTCCTCTTTCTCCCTTGTCTGGCAGTAGATCAGAGGATTCTGATTCCACAGGGACCTGTCCCACCCACAGGAGGAAGGAATGCTACACAAGAAGGAGAGGCAGGATCTGAACTCACAGACATCACTGAGGTTGCCCTCTTCAGTCTGTTGGCACCTGACCAGACCCTGGGTCTTTGGGACTCCTTTTGAAGACTCCCGAGCCACATGAGTCAATCAGTGAGTGATGGCTTTGGTTCTAGGAGTGTCAGCTGTAACCCTGAGGATGGACGAGGAAAGGCCTCATCCCTTCCTACTTGCACAGAAGTCAAACAGTAGAGTAGTGCTGCGAGTCTTTTTGGAAGAATGGAAAAAATCAAGCGGTTCTCAGAACCACCTGAGAACTGTGCATCTGTAAACATTCTCTTGGCCAAGGTCAAATTCATGTACAGTACAACCACTGTAGCCACACAGACGCTTGTTGCTCTTTGATTTTGTCTCTGAGTTTGTGTTGCTCAAGTGAAGTCCAACTGGACAGTGGAGCCTGCAGGGGAGTGGGGGAAAGTCAGGACCTTGGCATCTGCTCTCCATCTTGCCCATCCTGTTCCCCATCACTGTCATTTTCCACCCAGCCAGCTCATGTTGATGAGAGAAGGATTGTGTTTACTGTTGTCCTTTGTCCCTGACAGGTGCCAGGACAGAGAGTGGGCCAGACTGGTATACACCTTCAGATGCTCTGGTCAAGGCCAGGCCAGCTGTGCCCACCCTAGACTGGAAGCACCAACTCCAGCACAGGACTTCTCAGGGGGCTCTGGCCATCTCTGACATAACTGCCAGGGGTATCCTGCAGGGAGATTACAATCACTTGCATTGGTGGTGGGGGTACATGTTGCTCACCTGTTGTGGGGCTTGTGCAAAGGGCACACAGCCTTCTATACTCCAGGATCAGACCTTGCATCTGTCCTTGGCACCAGCCCTGCAAATCATATAGCCGGCCTTATCTCTGGACAATACAAACTAGCAGAACTAAATTCTCATCATGGGGCCCAGGAATCTGTTCAAAGAAGTCCTCAGGTGATTCTGATGCACACTCGAGTTTAAGCCTCTGAAATCCAACAAAGCTAAGGAGGGAGATGGGTAAGAGCTCAAATCCTATTTTCATTCAAGGTGATCATAAGCAAGTTATGGAACTCCGATTTGCAGTCCTCATTCCTCTTCTTCCTCCTCCCTCCTAAATGTATATGAAAGGCAGTGTTGCAGAGAGAATGAAAGATAGAGTGAGAAAGAAATCTCCCATCTGCTGGTCCACTCCCCAAATATGTGCAACAGCCAGGGGCAGTAGGCCAGGATGAAGCCAGGAGTGAGGAACTCCATGAGGAACCCAGCTGTTTGGATCATCATCCACTGCTTCCCAGGCACATTAGTAGGAAGTAGGATTGGAGGTGGAGCAGTCAGTGCTCCAATATGAGATGCCAGCATCACAAGCAGAAGCTTTACCTGTGGTGACATAGCGCTTGCCCTGTTGGTGGGGCTGGAAGTTGCTCCATCAGGAACCACCCCACCCTCTTTAAAAAAAAAAAAAAGTTAACTTTATTATTTGAAAGGCACAGTGACAAAGAGAGAGATGAAGATAAGGAGAAAGAAAGAGAACTTCCAGTTGCTTATTCATTCCTTAAATGGTCACAATCACCAGGAATGGGCCAGGCCAAAGAAGTCCAGAACTCCGTCGAGCTTGCACATGAGTTCTAGGGGCCCAGGGACTGAGGACACCTGCTGCTGCTTTCCCAGGCACATCCGTAGGGAGCTGGATTGGAAGCCAACACCAGCATGAGTTCTTCACTGACACCAACCGATTTTCTGATTCCCTGACATCTGCTGCATGTCCCATTCCATTCTGTTCTGATACTGCCAACCTGTTGCCAACCTAACGTCCCACACGTTGAAAGGTTAAGTTCTATGACTTAAGACACCAGCTGCAGTAGGATCCCCAGGCAACGTAGGATTCTGCTGCTCACACCATAGACTGAAGGGATGCTTCAATTTGTTCACAGAACTCAGGAAAATGCAATACTGACACTACCAAGGGACAAAATTACAACAGTTGGGTTAAAAACAACAACAACAACAACAAAACTCCAGTAGCTTTGTTTTTGCTTCTTGAGTCAGGCCATACTCCGTAAGTGAGAAGACTTGTTCGAATGGGTTGAGGAGAGCTTCATTTTATAGACAGGAAAGATTGGGAAAATGCAGAAACATACAAAAGCAGGTTGGTCATCTGAATTTACTTGCTTTGTAAGGTTTAGGCATCAGGAGACAGAACAGTAGAAAAATAACAGGTTAGTTAACATTAGGTTCTTTCAAGTTATCTTTTTTGTGTAAAGAATAAGCAGAAGAGGACCCGGCACGGTGGCACAAGTGGTTAAGGTCCTCACCTTGCACGCCCGGGATCCCACATGGGTGCCGGTTCTAATCCCGGCAGCAGCCCCTCTTCCCATCCAGCTCCCTGCCTGTGACCCGGGAAGGCAGTCGAGGATGGCCCAAAGCTTTGGGACCCTGCACCCGCATGGGAGACCCGGAAGAGTCTCCTGGCTTCGGATTGGCATAGCATCGGCCGTTGCACTCACTTGGGGAGTGAATCATCGGACGGAAGATCTTCCTCTCTGTCTCTCCTCTTTGTATATCCGCCTTTCCAATAAAAACATAATAAAAATAAAATCTTAAAAAAAAAAAAGAATAAGCAGAAGGAACTATCATGCTAGCAGAAACTGGCATGATTAGGATATTTGGCTGCTACCTCTCATTCCTGGTTTTTTGAAAGGTCAGATTACAGCTTAGTTTCAGTTTGGTAAAATGGAGCTTTAGCATGACAGACTCCATTTTAGTTTCGGTCTGCTGGGGCCGAGTGCAAAAGACTCATCCACAACAGTGGTTTCCTATAACTTTGTTTTGCCTGTTTTTTATTAATTAATTTATTTGACAGGCAGACAGAGATGCAAAGTACTTCCATCTGCTGGTTCACTCCCCAAATACCCACAACACTTGAGGCAGACTGGGCCAGGGAGCAGGAGCCAGTACCTCAATCTGGGTCTCCCACATGGGTGGCAGGGACCCAAAGTGTATGAGTCACCACCTGCTGCTTTCCAGGGTCTGGCCTAGCAGGAAGGCTGGATTGGGGAGTGGAGCCAGGACTCAAACCCAAGGCCGCAGGCATCCTGAGTGCCACGTCAACTGCCAGCCCTGCCACTTGGGCTTTCACGCACCACTGTTTCACCACGGATACCGACAGCACCGCTGGGTCACTCCTTGGTTCAGGGACACATTCACCAACTCAGGAGCACTCCAAACTCAGCTGGTTAGGGGGTTTTATGTCTGTTTTCAGACACATACATGACTAAGTTGCAGGTCATTGGTGAAAGAACTCATCTCCAGCCCCTCTCCCCATCTCAGAAGCTGGGCAGTGAGCCCAGAAGTTCTAACTCTCACCACAGTGCTGCTTTTACTGGTAACCAGGTCCCATCCTGAAGCTGTGTAGATCCTCTAGATCCCCTCTCCGCAGCAGAAGCCATCTCATTAGAATACACAAGACCGTAATTTCCAGCGGCTTTGGGAGCTGTGTTCAGGAAACTGGGAACAAAACCAAACCCGTAGTTTGACTACACCACAGGTGCCAGTCATCTCCCAGAGTCCAGAATGGGGTCAGGCTGAGGCTGCAGCCACCTCTACCCAACTGTTCCCATGCCCTGTTCTGCTGCTTGGATATTCCTAAGGCTTCCACCTGGCCGGCCTCCCTCCCTAAAGCACCTGCATGCAAGCCCTGTCTTCAGCACTGCTTCCAGGAAGCCCAACTTAAGGTATACTGGCGGCTTTCGTCTCCACACACCACCGCCCCCTCCTCTCCCCGCGCCAGGGTGTTTGTGTGTCCTTTGTGTAGCCTCTTGGACAGCGGAGTGTCTTGGGATTTCTTTCGGGTCTGACGTATCTTTGTCCTCCAGTAACACCCAGCCCACAACCTTCCACGCAGAAAATCCTCTGGGAATTTTGTAGAATGAGCATCACATACTTTGAAATCATCTCCATGGGTAGTCAGGGTTAAACTGCTGACTTATTTTCTTGAATGCCTGTTTTGTACTCTTCATTCCCAACCCCTGACCCGTGAAGAGGTCAATTCCCTACTGCCAGAGATGAGGGCAAAGGACTCCAGACGCTGCCGGAGAGCAGGCCCTGCAGAACACCTGCAGGCTACTGGCACAGGAGCCTCTACACCAGACACACACGGGGCTGTGCAGGGCCTCAAGTTTTTTTTTTTTTTTAGCTCTTTCCAACTCCTCCGGCCCATCCAGTTAAACAGTCCCTAAGAGTAAATAAACGTGGCAAAGATAGAACAAATATTTTTTTTTCCCAGTTGGACTGGTTCATTTCTTACGTGAGTTCAGATGGGGGAGAACCAGAATGTTTTGATGAAATCAGTCACTGCCATCAGTAATTTGCTTGTTTACTAACAGTCTGTCCTGTCGTATTTCTTGTCATTATCTAACCAAGTGTGAATTCTTAGTATTGTTGAAAGGACTGTTCTCAGTACGAAAATGGCAGGGTTCCTTAACCTAATGTTCTCACCGTGCTACCAAGGACGAAAACACTAAATCAAAAGTAATTGGTAAACATAACCCCACAGAATAGCAGAGTGAAGAAAAAAGAGAAGCAGGTGGCATCTCTCTTCATCCCTTTCAAGAGCCCTACAGTATGCTTTTCATGACGAGTTTTTTTCCCTTTCCTTTCAAATATTGCATATGCTTCTCGCTAGGATGTTACCACAATTTGCTTCCCCAATACAAAATGTGCTGTTGCCGCCTGGGACCCCCACATTATCAGAACCATGTTTCCCTCCCCCCTCCCACCCCCATTTAAAGCTCTTGAGAGGGCAGGCATTTGGCGTAGAATTTAAGAGCCCCATATCCCAATCTAGTGTACCTGGGTTGGATTCCTGACTCTGGCTTCCTGCCAGCAGGGCTATTAGGAGGCAGCGGTGGTGGGGTTAAGTCCCTGGACTCTCAGCACCCATATGGAAGACCTGCATTGAGTTCCCAGCTCCTGTCTTCAGCCTCAGCTCTATTCAAGGCACTTTAAGCATTTGAGGAGTAGATTGATAGATGGGAACCCCACCTCAATTTGTATGTGTGTGTGTGCATACATGCCTCTCAAATTAAAAGTATATATATTTATATATAGATCTTGATCACATGAGATTGCCATTAGATCATTATGGTGGTAGTTACTTAGTTTATTTTTATTTGAGAGACAGAGAGAGAGAACTTCCATCCGCTGCTTTATTCCCCAAATGGCCACCAATGGCTGAAGCTAAGCAAACCTAAAGCCAGGAGCCAAGAGCTTCCTCCAGGTCTCCCACATGGAGGGCAGGGCCAAGGACAAGAGCCATCCTCTATTGCTTTCCCAAATCATAAGCAGAGAGCTATATCAGAAGTAGAGCATGAGGGACTCAAATCAGTGTCAATATGAGATGCTGGTGCCAAAAGTGGAAGCTGAACCTATCATGCCACAGAATCAGCCCCAGTTACTTAGTTATTAATCATCATCTGGAGTAATAGTAACACTAATTGATACTAATGATGATGATGATGATGATGACAGGCAACATTTATGGTGTATGCCAGATGTTGTTCCAGCACTTTATATGTAATTTATTTGTCCTTACAAAACTATGAGGTAGCTATCTTCAATATCTCCAATTCTATACATGAAAAAACACCTGACTCAGAGATGTGAAGTAACTTGCCTGAGCATCAAGATTCTGAGTGACAGAGCCAGGTTTGAACGCAAGCAGCTTGGGTTTCACCACACTTCCTAGTGGTGAATTTCTATTAATTGAGCCTTAACCACATAGCATGGCATTTGTCACCTTTCCTTCACGACAGCAAAATACCTCTGAGGGCAGGATGATTTTGTGAAGAGATTTATTTTGGCTTGTGGTTCTGGAAGTACAAGGTCTAGGGATCTTTTCTGACGGTGGCTTCCTGCTGGCAGAGGCCCAAGGTGGCATAGAGTATCAGGTGATAGGGGAGATACAGAGCCACGGGTCAGTCCATATGTTTGTGTGTATGTCTCTTTCCTTCCTTACAAAGCCACCAGAAGTTAATCACAGGACTCTACTCTGGTAACTCAAAAAGGCCAACCTCAAAGCATCCATTCAGATAAAGTGTATTCCCTCTTGATATCACTCACACAAGATTCAGGGGTGGGGTTGGCGCTGTGGCATGGCAAGTAAAGCCACTTCCAAGATGCTAGTTCCAGTCTCAGCTGCTCCATTTCTGATCCAGCTACCTGCTAATATGCCTGGAAAATCAGAGGAAAATAACTCAAGTACTCAGGTCTCTGCGACATGTGGGAGACCTAGATGAAACTCCTGGATCTTGGCTTTGGACTGGCCCCGCCCTGGTCATGGAGGTCATTTGTGAAATAAGAGTAAGAAGACCTCTTACTCTGTTTCTTCCCCTTTCTCTGTAACTCTGCTACCAAAATTAATTATTTTTTTTAAAAGACTACTGGGCTTAAACTCCTGCATGAGTTTAGCAAGGAGCTGGATAGGAAGTGGAGTAGCCGGGATGTGAACCAAAGCCCATATGGAATGCCAGCATGACAAGCAGCCTCGTAGGTGCTAAACCATAATTCCAGCCCCAGATGTGAGGCATACAATGTATGTCTCTGAACTGGTTCCACTTGGGTTAGCATCCTGGATCCACTCCCTCTGAGCTATATCACCTTGGGAGAGTTACTTCAACACTTTTGAATTCCCATTGCCACAGCTGGAAATCAGGACAACATCAGCAACTTCATGCATAGTGTTTATGGAAGGCTCGTTTGACCTAAAATACATAAAGTGCCTTTCCCAGAGGCGAGCACATTTGGTCCAAGCCTCATACATGAGTTCTACTCTTGTAAGGACTCAAGTTCTTAGCCACATTGGGGGTGGAGCCCTAACAAGAAGGCCCCAGGGCATACTCAGCTTTCATGATCTGATCCTGAAGCTCAGGCCTGAGCTTGCCTGGCACTCACAGACTAGAGTTCAGCATCAGGATTGAATAGTTATATTCTACATTAATTCTGCAACTCAGATTCTTTGTCTAGTCTCTTTTGCCATTCTTTTTCAATATTCTCTTTGTTTGCTTTCTTTTGAATGGCAGTTAGAGAAAGAGAGAGACAGATCCATTGGTTCACTCCCCAAATAACCTCAACAGCCAGAGCGGGGTTGCTCCACAGCTGGGAGCCAGGAAACTTTTTCCAGGTTTCCCACATGAGTACAGGAGCCCAAGGACTTGGGGTATCCTCTGCTACTTTTCAAAGCTATTAGCAGAGAGCTGAACCCAAAGTGGAACAGCCAGAATCTGAACTTATGCTCATATAGGACGACAGTGCTGCAAGTGGAGGCTTAGTTTGCTATACCATGGCACTGGCCCCCTCTCAACATTCTCAGTGTTTGAAATGTCTGTTTCCTGGGTTCCACCTGCAAGACAATTTAGGACTGTATTATGTGAATGCTGAGACACACAATGACTCCATGGTTGACGTGAGCAGTTTTTTCTTCCTCAGAGTCAGTTCATCAGTTAGGGTAACTATGCCTGGAGCTATAGGTTGGGCTCTGGTCTACCCATACTTCTCTGATGGCCCTTGGACCAGCAACTACTTAGGACCATTTTTCTTGTAAATATCAGGAGCACCAGAAGCTGAGTATAGCCATGTTTAAGGTCTATGATCATGTCCACTAACATTCTTCCAGCCAGAGAGTCTTAAGGTCAATTTCAACACCAGTGGGTGGAGAAGTAAATATATTCTGATCTGTTCAGTTGGAGACACTGATAGAGCAACATGTCAAAGACTAGATGTGTTCCAAGAAGGAACAGAGAAGCTGAAATGAAAACAAGATAGACACCTTCTGATTCATGGGAAAGGAGACAATAGCTATGTCAAAAGAATAAGTCAAGTCTTTCTGAAAAAAAAAAAAAAAGATATCTTAAACTCATTTCCAGACACTTACCAAAAGCAGAAAAAAAAAAATTGCTGCCCTTCCTGTGTGCAGGTCTGGTGGCACAGCAGGGACGCAATGCTCCTTCCACGGAGGGCTTCTCTTGGGTTGGTTGTTCTGGAACCACCACCTTAAAATTCATTTCTGAAAAAGAAAACCTGCCTTTTCATTTTGCAGTATTCTAGCAGTTATGCAAGCAACCTTGCCCACACGTGCTACACTTGGAGTTCTAGATGGTGATAATTAATGCTCAGAATGACTGCCCTGAGATCGGTCATTTCCTGAGTGACCCAAGATTCAATGACCACGGTCTTTCCCTCATTCAAGATTTTCAGAATACTATAGTGAACCAACCCACTCTATTTTCCTGGCATTTACACCATGCCACCCTTCCTGCAGCCACCCATGCTCAGATGACAGTCATGTATCAGCTGGGACATTAGCCGGTATGCCACATGTGATGTATGTTGGGGTAGTGTACACTATCTGGCTCAGCAGGCAGAGACACTTCACCCATCCCCATTTCTTTCTCTGTAGATAGCAAATCAGATTGCAAATGAGCAAGAATGACACCATTAAGGGAGCTAACCTTAAACCCACTCTGATGGCAAGTATAATAAATCTTTCACAAGCCTTACTCCTTTGGATATTATTCTAGTTTCTAAAGTGACAAAAAGACCCATTTTCAAGAGGTTTTTCAACCATGTTGACTGAAATCAAAGAGCACACTAAGTTTCTGGCTAACATTTCCCAGGGGCTCTGCAAGCACCTTGAGGCATGTCACTTGGTGACAGCCCCAGCCATATGCCAGACCCATCCTTCAAGAGATCCACTCACCCCTGTGCTGCTCAGAAGAGCGGAAAGATGTCAGATTGCTGGTCTGCTTGAAGAATCACAACAGATGTATTTGCTATTCAAGCAGCAGGGATCCTGCTCTGGGAAGAGACTAGTCCTTTTTCTCATTTGTTTGTTGTCTAGAAATTCATGCCCTTAACATCCCCCCTTCCCCAATGCCCCATCTGAAACCACACTCCTTGCATCAGCTAGCCTGATGGGAGCACATTTATTCATAGCATACTATATACCTCCCTAGGCAGATAGTACCACCGGCCAGCTTTTTCCAAAAGGTTAGCCCTCTAGGTACCTAGGGTCTTAGCTCTCCAACTTCAGCCTGCATCTCCATCACCTGGAGGGCTTGTTAAAGTTCAGATTATGGACCAGTGCAATGGCTCAACTGGCTAATGCTCCACCTCCAAGCGACAGCATCTCACATGAGCACGGGTTCATGTCCCAGCTACTCCGCTTCCCATCCAGCTCCCCTGCCTGTGGCCTGGGAAAGCAGTGGAAGATGACCCAAAACCTTGGAACCCTGTATCTGAGTGGAAAAACCAGAAGTCCTGGCTCCTGGATTTGGATCAACTCAGCTCTGGCTGCTGCAGCCATTTGGGGAGTAAACCAGCAGGTGGAAGATCTTACCCTCTGTCTCTCCTCTCTGTAAACCTGCCTTCCCAATGAAAATAAATACATCTTTTTAAAAAAATCAAATACAGATCATCCCCTCCTAGAGTTGTGTCACAAGTATTGATGCCCAGTGACCATCAATGGCCCACACCAGACCAGAGTTCTCTGGAATATATATGGCATTTCATTGAGTCTAAGACTCACTTGACGGTCACTATTGAGGGTGGCACTGTAGCACAACAAGATAAATCACAGCCTGAGACACTGGCATCCCATATTAGAGCAGCTGTTTGAGTCCTGACTGCTCAGCTTCTGAACTAGATCATTGCTAATGTACCTAGCAAAGCAACAGAAGGTGACCCGAATACTTGGGCCCCTGCTACCCACATGGGAGACCTGGTTGGCATTCTGGGTTTCTGGCTTCAGCCTAAACCAGCACGCCCTGTTTTGAGCATCTGGGGAATGAACCAGCAGATGGAAGATTTCTTTGTGCATTTCTCTACCTTTTAAATAAATATATATATTTAAAAGAATGAGCCCAACACTCAAAGGGAAATGGTGGTTAAAAAAAAAAGAAGAAAGAAGGGTGGGCTTCCAACCTAGCACTTATGTTGTCCATTGGGGAGCCTGTGTTCCACATCAGTTTATCTGATTCAATTCTGTACTACTGAATCCAATTTCCTGTTCATGTGGACCCTGGGGCTCAGGTGGTTGGGTTTCTGCTCCCATGTGGGAGATCCGGACTGAGTTTCCAGTCTCTCTCTCTCTCTCTCTCTCTCTCTCTCTTTAGTAAATACAAATTTAAATTTAAAAATGACTGGAGAGAGAAATAAAGAGGGAAAACTAGCTTTGCTACCACATGTCAGTCCTTTTTCTCTTCAATTATTTGAATTCAGTTTCTATTCTTTGCAAACACAGAAGTGCTTCCCCACACATAGCATTTCAACATGCCCCAGATCCAATGACTTCTTCATGATCCGTCAGCTAACCAAACTATCCTTGCCTCCCTCCTTCCTGTCTCCCTGCTCTCCTACACTGAACTCACCAGAAAGGCTTTTCCCTACCCCCCACAACTTCCTACATGCCTGTCTCATGCTTCCATTCCTCTGCTCCTGCACCTGAGTCACTCCGACCCTGTTCACTCACCTCTCAGCCTCCCGAGTCCCCTGACCCACCTAACTCATGTTCTGCATTGCAGTCAAAGCAATCTTGCCAGAACCAGGTAAGAACAGATGGTATCCCCAAAGAAAGCCCTTTGGTGTCTGCTCTTAGTCCTTCTACTCTGTGGGTCAGGCCTGGCTTCCTGCAACTGTGCAGAATAGCTTTCTGCTATATACTTTTCACATACTTATCTCTGCCTGGAACATTATTCCTAAATTACTGTTGATTAATATCACTCAACACTGCTTTAGTGGCACTTTTTGGAAGGGTATTCCCCTCTCCCTGGACTAGCTTGGGTTCCTCCAATTTCACTGAATGCCTTCACAGTTTTTACATCATCATCATCATCATCATGCTTTTAAAAATCAGTCATTAAATGTAACTTTTTAAATGAGAGAACATAGTATAAGCCTGTTTATACAAAATCTTTAAAATAACAAACTCTATTACTGAGATATTAATAATAAAAAAAAAAACCCAGTCCCACTTTGCAGTAGTAGACAGGCTAAGTGCAGGCTAAGACTTTCCTCGAGCTCAATGAAATCCTGTCACAATGCGCCTCTGCCTTCCAGACTGCATGGTGGACAGATGCACTCCTAGTAATTCTATCAGTTTCCAAGGTCTATTGTTATTGCTTGGACAATAATTTGGGTGTCCACAAAACACCCATGTAGGGGCTAGTGTGGTGGTAGAAGGGGTTAAGTTGCCGCCTGCAATGCCAGCATCCCATATGGTTGCCAGTTTGAGTTCCAGCTGTTCTACTTCCAATCCAGCTTTCTACTAATGCAGCTGGGAAAGCCACAGACGATGGTCCAAGTGCTTGGCTCTCTGAACCCATGTGAGAGGCCCAGATGAAGCTCCTGGATCCTGGCTTGGCTTGGCCCAGCTCTGACCATTGTAACCATTTGGGGAGTGAGCCAGAAGATGGAGAATCTCTCTCTAAACTCTTTCTATATATATATAACTCTGCCTTTCAATTAAGAAATAAAACTTTTAAAAAAATAACAATTTAAAAGTTTTAATTATCCACATGTTGGGGGCTTTGTCCTCAAAGTCTTATGCTAATAGTCAATGGATTAATGTTAATGATTAATGGATTAGGGTGGAGACTTGAGCTAATCATAGTTTCTAGGAAGTGGGGTCAGTGACAGGCCTTAAGGTCACTGGGGTATGCCCGCATTTGTTTAAAAAAGTTGTGTTGGCCATCTCTATCTCTCTGAGCTTCCTGACTTACCACGTCATCTTCCTCAGGCTGTATGACTCCCATATGACTCATCAGATAATGGACTCATGGGGTCACCCAATCTGGATCACAACCTTCCACAATCATGAGCAAAAATCCACTTTTTCTTTAAGTTAGTGTCTCTCAAGTATCCTGGTTAAGGTTGCCAAAAGTGGATTGACACAACTACCATAACAGACTAGGCCACTGAAATGACAAGAATGTACTTCGTCCTGATCCTGGAGGCTAGAAGTTCAAGACCAGCTTGTGGATGGGGCTGATATGTTCTGAGTTCCTTCTCATGCATCCTGACCTTCTGTGCTTAGAAATAGCTGCATAGGGCTTGGCACGGTGGCGCAAGTGGTTAAGGTCCTTGCCTTGCACGCCCGGGATCCCATGTGGGCGCTGGTTCTAATCCCGGTAGTCCCACTTCCCTTCCAGCTCCCTGCCTGTGGCCTGGGAAAGCAGTCAAGGACGGCCCAAAGCTTTGGGACCTGCACCCGCATGGGAAACCCGAAAGAGGCTCCTGGCTTCGGATTGGCATAGCATTGGCCGTTGTGCTCACTTGGGGAGTGAATCATCAGACGGAAGATCATCCTCTCTGTCTCTCCTCCTCTCTGTATATCCACCTTTCCAATAAAAAAATAATAAAAATAAATCTTTTTTAAAAAAAGAAATAGCTGCATAGGCAACTACTCCCGGGGACCTCACCTCATGGGAATTATCTCTGTAGAGACTACTTCCCGCAGCAGTCCCATTCTGAGGGCCAGGCATTAAGATTTCATCAGAGGAATAATGAAGAGCACCCTTTAGCCCATGATGTTAACACATCAGCATGTGGAGGTTCAGCGTGCTACCCCTGGGAAGCATAGAGGGAGAAGAAGAGATGCAGGAAGGTACTGTGCAGATCAGGGTGAGGAACCACAAGCCAGGGTTCCAAGCCACTACCTAGAGTGAAGGGAGTATCAGGGCACAGAATTTCCCCACAAATTGCACAAAGAACCAAGTATGCTGTGACACCTTGATGTAGAACTTTTAGCCTCTGTAACTTCTGTGGTTCTTAAGATCCTCATATGCCTACAAAAACCAGGAGTTAAGACGGACAGAAACTCAATCCAGGCCTCCCAATCACTTGCAGTCTCATCTGCCTCCCAGGGTGCACACTGGCAGGACACTGGATCAAAAGCAGAGGCTAGGCTGAAAACCTCTAATACGGGATGTGAGTGTGCCAAGTGGCAGTTTAACCCGCTGCATCACAACGGCTGTCTTGACTGGTATCTCCAACAATGGGCCAAATGCTTGTCTCTGCTTGTTATTATCACTGTCACCAGATAGAAAGTTAATCTGGGACACAAATTAGGTATGAGAAACATAGACATGCAAAGGTAAGTAAGATTTTCTTAGTCATCATTATTATTGTATTGGGCTGCTTTTATGGTGGGGGGAGGGGTAGGTGATGCATAACCAAACACATTTCAACAGTCTAGCCCAATAATAACTCAATCAGTGAATGACCCTCCCAGTTCATCAGTACCTCTTGGCGAATGGGAAAAAAATGCCTTACCGTGGTGCTGTTCAATAAAGAAATTGTACTATATAGCATGTTATCTGCTTATTTTGTCTTTCTGAAACCACTCTTTACTACGAAAAGTTTCCAGTTTCCAAGGGACCCTGTGCCATCCTGAGAACACCTCCCCCCACCCCCAGTACATGGAGAACCAAGAACCAAGAACCAAGACAGGGAAAGAACAAAGTCACAAACAAATCCCCTTGGTCTAGTTCAAGGT